CTCATCTCTGCGCCAGGTATCGCTCTCTCGAACGCAGCGGCCTGGAAGCTTTGCTCAGTGAGGACTGCCTTTGGGGGCCATGGAGACTGCAACGTGGGCGGCTGGTACTTCTTTGGAGGGTACTCCCGCAAAATGGTGAGTTGTCTACTGGTTTTTCCGATTGAAAACACAAGGCAGGGTGCCCTCAACAACAAGAATAGACCCATGTGCAAGTCGATGGAATGGCGAATGCAGCCTTGTTGCCAGTCTCCGTGTTGCGCAGGAGGTCTTTGCATCTTTCGTGCAATCTGCAGTTCGAGTCAACAAGGCTCTTTGCAACTCTCTGCCGACTCGCCCAAAGTTTTCTGATTTGTCAATCAGGTTGATGTTGCTGAAAGAATGCTGCGGACTATGAAGCGAGTCGGCATCGTGCCATCCTTGCAGCAGGGAACCCAGTGGGCTAGTGGGCTGCTGGTATTCGCCTTTAGTCCAAGCTCAGACCTGGTTTGAACTCGGGGTGTCCGCGCGTGCGGAAAAAAAGACCCTAAGAGAGGAGCCCTGCGCTTTGGAGAGAGGGATCTGACGCAGCTACTGTACAGCCACCGGGATCCTCAGCAAAATATGTTTGGACTGCAGGGGGCTCACCCACGCGACAGTTGTTGGGAAGATGCCTGGCACCGCAGGAAACATGCGCCCAAGATGAGGGAGAGCTATAATGCAAGGTTCTCTACCGTCGCGAGGGAGTCTTGCACGGCAGGCGTTTGCCTGCCGTACGCCTTTGAGCTGAGCATTTCCATCACAACAGTAGGACAGGGAGTACTCGAATAGAGTCAACACTTGTGCCGATCTGCCAAACCTACATGCACGTACTGCCTCAAGAAAATGACCACGTGGCATGCGCATCGGTACTGAAAGACGGTTCAGCATGAACTGCCTGCGCCATACATTCTCAGGTTCTGGCAGCATACAATGCGGCTCCTTTCCAGTCTCTCGACAGGAACTGGACTTTGCTGCAAGACAAGCACATGCTTGTCACATACATGCGTTGCCGCGAACTCTTGACACTTCAGGTCGGAAGAACTTTGCACTTTGCCTGACGGCATACAGCATCTTTGAGCAACTCACCTGCAAAACATAGAGTCTTTTGCTGCGGGCTGTTGCATGTTTGTTCAAGCTTTGTCCGGGCTTTCTGCCTCCTCGAAACAGTTGGTCTAGCAGTCCGGTGCTGCTGAGCTGTAGGGCATTGCTCTAGTTGTCTTGAAGCTCTCTGTTGCCCAGTGGTGCCTTTTTTTTCTCCTTTTTTTGGGTAAGGGTTCCCCTTCCAACTCAACCAACCAAAAGAGGGTGCCCTTTTTTCCCCATGGCCACTGGGCATCTGAGAACTGCTAGTTGAACTGAACTCTCCCGGCTGTCTCCGGTTACTTGAAGCTTACAGGCATCAGATTCCCATCGACAAGATCACCTTCTCCTGTCTGATCAACGCCGCTCTGGAGCTGAACCTTCCAGAGCGGACGCCGGCCTTACTGCAGAAGTTTAGTCAGGCGGACCTGGTTGCCAAGGATCACGTCCTTCATTTTCGGTGCTTCGTGGCGCTGGGCAACGTGGATGATGGGGAAGCACTCTTTCGCCAGCTGGGCCTGCAGGTGACCACCCTCATGCTGAATCTGCTGTTGCTTATCTGCGTGAAGAAAGACCCCGAGCGCGCGTATCGCCTGCTGCAGGAAGCGCATTTGAAGGAGAAGCAAATGAATGATCGATTGGTCGATGTTGTCTCATACAACACGGTCATGAAGGGCTTTGGGCGTACCAAGAGCCAGGGACGATGCTTCGACTGCATGAAAAGTTTGGTTGAACATGGCCTCCAACCAGATGACCTCACTCTTGGAGCATTGTTGGACGCATGTGTGGCCGAGAGCGACGTGGCTGTGGCAAACGAAATTGGGGATTTGCTACTGTCGAGTGGGCGTCAGCTGAGCTCGGTGATGTGCACGCTTTTCATCAAGGGTCTTGTGAGGGCCGGCAGTCTTTCCAAGGCTTTTGCTTTGTATCGGGCAATGAAGGACCGAGAGTGTTCCTTTCCGGACATTATCGCTTACTCCGTGCTTATCAAGGGGCTTGTGGATCAGCATGAGTTGAACAAGGCTGTGGAGTTGCTGAATGATATGAAGGCAAATGGCCTGGCGCCTGATGACATCATCCTGACGCACTTGCTCGAAGGTTGCAGGCATGACTGCAACCTTGAGCTCGGCAAGAAGATCTACCAAGATGCCCTGGCCTCCGGAGTTAGCCCTTCTGATGTGACGCTCGCACGGGGCTCAGGTGGTTCTGACGGGTAGCACAAGTGAAGCACTTGCGGCCATGCCAGTGCAAAACAGTCCATTACATGTCCATTTGTATGCACATGCAAGCACCCCCACACCCGGCACTTTTGCGTGCATGCTGGATGGAGTATAAGCAAACACACACACACACACATGCACACATGAATACATGCATGCATCATTGCAGACATGCATGTCGTACATACCTGAATGTGTAGAGACGTGCGGACATACAGACATGAATGCACATGCGCAAACAACACGCCCATGACTGCATGGGTACAAGATACGCGAGCACGGTTATGAACGCACACACACACACACACACGCACGCACGCACGCACACGCACACCCACACCCACACCCACACCCACACGCACACACACACACACACACGCACACTTACACTCACGCACACGCACACACACACAGACACAGACACACACACACAGACACACACACACACACACACACACACACACACACACACACACACACACACACACACACGCACACACACACGCACAC